AACCCTCGCCTCAATAGACGAACGGGCGTGAATGCCTACGACCCCCCCCCCTTTCTCGCAGCTGCGTCCCGGGCGTCTGCTATTTTTTTCTTTTTTTTCATGGACATTTTCCAACGCAGAAGCTTGTACCGTTACAGTTTATATTATTTTTTTTCTTTCTAATTATTTGCATTTTACATGTATAACTATTAAACATATACTAACTACACGATTTTCTAATTGGTGTCACCCGTGCATAGCGCACCGTGCCCCATTTGATACTTCCCATCTGACATAGTTATTTGTGAAGAATTTCGGATAGTAAAGATGTGATCTGACAGAGCAGACACACACAATTTTGTATACGAAATCGTAGCATCAATTATTTCATATACCTTAAAAGTAATTAGTAAATACTTCAATGTGTTGGTGAAAGACCGAAAAAAGAAACGGATTCGACAAAGTTGGAAAATTAAAAATTTCATCGTTACATAGCTCCAAACTAATACCCCGAACCTCAAGCAACGCAACATAAAACGCAGTCAAACTACCTCCCACTCTTTAACGTCACGAAATTTATCGACGAACTCTATCGTGTCCTGTTAAAAATATTTAGTGATATGTTTTCAACACATTACTACGCTAATATTTTGCAAAGTATTACTTAGTTATGAAGGATTAGTAATGTTATAAATATTGTTTTCAAAATTTGGAAGTTTTTTCAAATTCAGCTGTAAACATATTCTTTAAGTTATTCCTCATTCTGAGCATAGTTGGCTAAATAACATGGACTAAGAGCTTTTTTATTCAAACCTGAAATATTTCAAAATAGCGAAAGTCGAACTTAATTGTTGTTGCGATGCCACACGTTTGTGATGCAGTGTTGCCATCAGAGTCTCTGCGGTGTAATAGGACTCTGGAGTAAGCTTACGCAGATAATTTCGAATCTCATCCGTGTAAAATAAATTTTGCGGGTAGAAAACACTTTTATGGTTAATTATATAGTTATATTAATCATAACCTTAATAAATATCACAAAAAATATGTGCTTTTGACGCACCACTACATACTTCAGTGTGTCTTTAAGTATCATGTATAAATTTTCTGCCATTGCGATTCTGGATTTCATACAGACTCTATTTCTGGCCGCCTGGCGTTATCACAACTTTCGTCTATGACGTAGCTTCAACCTTGAAGGTGTGTGCCGAAAGATAACTCCTGAAACTAGCTGCACAACCAAGATTATAGAACGTGAGTTCTGATTGAAAATATTTTTAACATAAAATGAAATTCGTTGTTGAACGTTTATAATTCGTTTTGCATTCCTATCGTGAATTTGATATCTTTGACACATGGAGAATATTCTCTAATAAAAACTAAGCGCAATAAATATCACGTTAGTTAATATTCTTTTCGTAATAAGTTCTCCTGGACACGGCGATGGCCAATGTTTGCTGTAGCGTAGTATATCGAAGAAAAACTGCAGATTAAAAGTTGTGGCTGGCCCTAGACACTTCTAGATCCAGTTTTATGGCTGATTGATTGATTGATTACTAGTGATTCCGGGCGTGTCAACTGGTAAGGTCATTAGTCCCATGAATGTAGTGCATGTTTTTGCTCGGTTGTTGTTGGTGGTGGTGATCGTATGCTGTGGTTGGCTGGATGGCAAGATCCGTCGCCGACCTACCGTTTTTTTCAACCTGCAATCTCCCACCAGCGGGGTACCGCCCCAGCCGGGACAAGCTCTAAGCTCCCGACCGGTCTCCCGGCATGTGCGGTAGTGTAGTGCGTGTTAGTGTGTGTACGGGGTGAGGATAGGACGGGAATGGGAAGGAAAGATTGCACGCGGTCCCTGGCCCGTTTGTTAGGGAACTGCCCCGGCATTCGCCTGTTATTGATAGGAGAAACCACGGAAAACTACCGATCAGAGCAGCGTGCTGCTAGAATTCTCCTCCAGACAGCTCTCTACAGAAGTCGACCTAGCTATCTAGCAAGTGTCAAAAATCGTACCGTTGGTACTCGAACCGAGGACGTCCCGGTCAGAAGCACTGCAGTGATATCAGTTGATGTCTTGAGCCATCTCGTCCGGTGAGAAGAAAAAGCGAACAAATAGCACCTTTTCCCCTGCA